AAATTTCGACACTGGTAAGTGCTTCAACGAAACGAGTACTGGAAATTGAAATAGGTATCTATATCAGTGAAATAGATTTAATGATGCTCCAGCAGTCCAGCCATAGAAAATAGAGTCCAGCGTATTATGTTTTAAGGAGTAATATTTAGGCAATTCACATGACATGAACATTTGGGCTATGTCGATGTGTGAGTAGTAAATTAATATTACTTATTAGCGTGTGTGTTTCCGAGAATCGTTGTAGCAACCGTCACCGGATGAAACTCTCGCACACGTCAATATTTCGTGAAAATTGAAATACTATAAAAACTACTAGAAGTGGTAGTAAATTAAACATACTTCCTGAAGTTCGATTGTAATTTCGAAAAGATGGTTGAATTTATAAGCTTCTAGACTTGGTATAGGTATGTTCTTTAGGAATCACTTTTTAAATTTAAAATCAGATGTGCTCAAAATAAATACAAGTGTAAATGTGTAATGCAATTATTTCACAGGATTTTTGAAAAAAAATTCTTAATTTTAATGTCCTTTACATTGAAAATCGACTTCCTAAAAAGCCTAGATATTTTGTCAAAGAGTTCATACATGTTAAATAATTAAAATTGCATTTAAAATGGACATTCTGAAATTGTTTAATTTACCACCGATTATTGGTCTAAAACGTATGAAAAAACACTGCTGCGATCTCCTTAATGATTATAGAATGTAGACTGGATGCAAACATTTTTAAGAATTGCACAAGATATGTGCAATATTATTATTTTTTCGATAGCATTGTTATTGTGCATACTGCATAGGTAGTTCTAGCTGCATATGAAATTGCATCTACAACTTAATGTACTTGATGTCTTGATGTATTATTGAGTGGGTACTGTAGAATCCGAACTAGGAGTTGGGAGGAATGGTATTTTCAGTGAAGCCAATGGTAAGATTCGTCTGAAAACATCATTTACTGTCAGTGGAGTACGCAGGAGAAGTGTTCTAGGGTTTTGACCCTCCCCCCTGAAATTTCTTCCTTCAACAAAACAATAATATTTTGCACCATTTAAATACACAGAGTTGATCAATTGTTGGTCATTTTTATAGTATACGTCGATAATCATAGTTTCAGTTTTTTGACTAATTTAGAACATAAACGTATGTCATAATAGTCGTGTATCATCATTAGAGAGCTGATTTTTATTCACTTAAAGTATCGAAATATGCCATATAATATGCAGTAAAAATCATGAAAATATGCAAAAAATATGCAAGAATTTTTTATTTATTTAAAATGTGCAATAAAACTTATAAAAATTAATTACTTAAATACTTAATAAAAAAAAAATTTAGGGAATTTTCTGAACAACTTAACTTATTTTTAAAATTTATTATTAAAATGAATAAACATAATATTATGCATTTCAAGTTTTTCTTCTGTGTAGCTGTGTCGTTCATCAGTTAACATATTTTTAAAGACTGAGAGCGAACGTTCTACGTCAACTGAAATTATTGGGGCATATTTGAAGCAACTTAGTATTGTCGGGTCTTGATAAAGATCATCGAGCTGAACGTTTTCGCCTAATAACACTGAATACATTTTTCGTAAAATTTTCAGACCTTCTCTTTCGTTGGAAAGCTCGTTTAATTTTGTTGTAAGTGTATTGCACCTTTCAATCCAGGAATAGAATGAATTTTTTCTTCCGTTTCGTCAATTATTGAAAAGCTTTCATTAAGTTTACGTCGTAATCGATTAGGTATTTATCTTATAAATTTACAAATAAATATAAATATATATATATATATAAACTATTATTAAGTGACTATGAAATTTAGTTTTAATTTTTTTACTTGACAAAATATTATTTTATACATTCTTTTTAATTTTTGCTTCAATATGCAATAAATTTTGAATTTTGTCAAAATGAGCAAAAATATGCAATAACCTTTAAATATGCAGATATATGCAAAAAACAATTTCACTTTAGCTTCAAATTATGATGATTCGTGGAGATAACTGTCAAAAATCCAAAAATATTAAAAGGAAAAAAATATGCAATTGCATAGATATTTGAGCTCTAATCATCATGTATCATCGATTATTACTACGTTTATTACGACCCGAAGAGGCTCTAGATAACCGGTTGTAGGAAAAAAACCAAGGAAAAAAAAACCACGAAAAAAAACCACGAAAAAAAAACCAAAAAATAAAAACCAAAACAAAAAAAAACCAAATGAAAAAAAGACTATGAAAAAAAAAACCAAATTAAAAAAAATCCATGAAATTAAAAACCAAATTTTTATATTTTGCTATCATTTTTTTCTGTCATATTTTTGGTACCTATTATTATAGAAAATTTCAAACAAATATATTGTCAGTAGAATAAAATACAATATAAAAGTTATGCATACCTCATTGTATAATAGAGAACACGCATTAATAAGTTACCTAATTAATAAATTACATAAAAAATTACAAAAAAATATCTCATCAATTGTCAGTAGAATAAAATATAAATAAAAAAGTTATCGATACCTTATTGTTTAATAGAGAACACGCATTAATAAGTTACCTAATTAATAAATTACATAAAAAATTACAAAAAAATATCTCATCAATTGTCAGTAGAATAAAATATAAATAAAAAAGTTTGGGCCAGCTTAGTTTCATCAGATGCCACTTCTAACCTTATTTTATTTATAATAGTCCATATTGTTGGATGTGTTTATCCTACTAATTTACTGAACCTGAGGTTCCAACCTTCTGTAGAATTGTTTGTTCGTTCTTCGTCATTTAAAGTCGATTCATTTACGTTCCATAAATTTGGTGGAAAAATAGGTGGACAATTTCTTAAAACTATTTTATTATTTTCATTTTTAACTTGCCTATACTTGCCATTTACATATGTTTCATCAAAATAATTTAATAAAGACTCAGCCTCCTCAGGAACAATGTTTTTTTAAATATGCCATACCATCTTTAACGTCTCCTATGGGCAGTGTTGGGGAAGGTACTTATTTTTGGTAATTAAATTACATTACTAATTACTTATCAAAATTGTAACTAAATTATTTTTAAGTTACTTTTTTTTAATATGGTTAAGTTACATTACTTTTGAGTTTAAAAAGTAACTGAATTACAATAGAAGTTACTTTTTTTCAAAAATATCACTGGAGCTTAATAATCATGTTGTCAATATAACAATACATAAACTCAATAGGTAATACCAATCAAAAATGTGAAATTATTAGCAGATACTCATTTTGCTACACTATTATTATTATTATTATTTTTATTGAACTTAAGCCCGGAAACTATGGCCATAAGCTGTTGTAGGGGATTATAAACTGTGGTTGGTAAATTTGGTATGGTAAGGTGTTGTTACGGTATGTATGTAAACACGTGTAAGTGTGGCAAGGTTTTTACTACTACGAATCCGGGTGGTCACCCATCCGGGAACTAGTAGCAGCGGGCGCAACTTACTCTCAGTCGTATTGCGCCACTGGTAGCTAGCAGCCAAGCCACACATTTATTTATTAATTATTTTTTTTTTATATTAACTAACCCGCAGCAATTGGGTGGTTTTTAACTGAGATGGAGGGTACGGTAGGTTTTTGTAAACACGTGTGTTTTAGCTTGAAAGAATTTCAACTTAAGGCACCTGTAGTCAGCCCGTTACCGAGATTCCAACCAGCTACGGTGCGCGTTGCCACCAACGCCTTAGTCCGCTCGGCCACTCCGTCTCCCTCACTTTTATTATTATTACTATTTATTGATAGTTCCAACAATGCTGTATACGCAGACGCTGACGCCGTGAGCCGTCCGCGACGATACAACACAGAGTACAGAGTAAAGATAAGAATTCCATTCTAAAAGTAACACTTTATAGTCGAACTGTCAATAGCTATAACAAAAATAGTACCTACAGTTCATACAATTTTACCTATAAATTAAAATACTAATAAGTAATATTATGATATATGATATCATAATATTATGATATATGATATATTTTAATATTTACCTACACACAATATTATCAATAGGTACGTTCTAAAAAATGTATTAATCCAAAAAAAAGTAACGAGTAATTTAGTAAAAATTACTACAAAAAAGTAACTTAAATTACATATAAATTACTTACAATAAAATGTAATTAAATTACCATCAAATTACTTAAAAAGTAATTTCGTTACAGTAACTTGTAACTTAAGTTAAGTTACTCCCCAACACTGCCTATGGGTAAGAATGCCAAACCATCCATTTTTCCACAAAATTCAATTAAATTTTGGTTTTCTCTATACTGTGTCTGCAGCCCTAATTCTTGTACTTTTCGATATGTTGATTGTGTCAAATGGTAGAAACAACCCTGAATATGTACATGTTGACCAAGAACATGTGTGATAGCTGTAATTACTGCACGTTCAAAATCCACATGTACAACCGCAGGATCAGGATATAAATTTCGTTCTTCGCATTTTTTTAAAAGTGTAGTAAGCATCATCTCATAAGTTGATAACGTTTTATTCTGTAGGAGAATGTATAGGTACTGCTGTTGTAAAATTTTTATTTATTTCCACACGTATAACATATAGTTGAGACGGTAGGTTAAGGAACTAAGGAAGTTATTTTGTAGTTAAAAATTCATAACATAACTAAGTTAAATATTGTGTATTAAAAACAAATATGTAGTTGATACATTTTTTTACGTTTATTAACGTTTATAACGTTTTTTACGTAAACGTAGACGATAGTACCTATCTGAAGGTTAGGTAAAAATAATAAACAAAAACGAATATTTCAAATGCCTATAAATAGCATTAAAATAAGTGAAATATTTTGAAAATTAAATCATGTAAAGAAAATGCCAATCTAAATCATTGATGAAATTTTCAAGTATCTACGACTTATTTTATATTTTGGATTAAATATAACAAATATTTAATTTCGTTTGAAGATAAATCGTCATCGTTACGTGATTTCGTAAACATTTGATTAATTTGAATAAGTTTTTTTAAAATTAAATTTCACTTATAAATGTCAGTGGACTTACCAAAATCTGAAGTTCTTCTAGTGAAGCTGGATCGATAAGATTTTTCTTTTTTCTGTAATTTCGTATGGTTCGTTTTAATGAATTTTCGACCGACATCCTTGCTTTAGTGTAGACATCTAATTGTGATACCGCTTCAGCATACATCTGCGACGGATTAGCTCCAGAACACTTAGCATTCTGTTTAATTTTGTTTATGGCTTTTGCAATCTCGATTTTTGATTGTTCAGCAGGGTGCTGATGTTGAACTTTGAGAATGGGGTCTATTTTATTTATTGAGGTGTGGAGAATAGCTGGACAGTTTAGAGAACTCTTTTTATTACATCTCCATGTGTAATATTTTTTTCCTGCGTGCTTCATTACGTACATATAGCCATTGAACGCTAATTTGTCTTTGCCTTTATTTGATTCTATTATTTCCATAATTAATCACAAAAACTTTAATGCTTTAAAACCGATGTTTTCTAGACGTGAGACGTCTACACTGTGTCACAACTAAATAGGTAGATGGTCAACTAAATAATAACTATAGCCACTACTCACTAGGTAATACCTATATTATTATTAACTATAACAAAATGATGCATGTGTGCCTGTATTATCTAGAGTCTAGACAGTTATCTAGACATTATCTAGACAGTCTAAATAAGTCCGATTTTGTATCAAAAACCTATATGATAAATACAATATAATGTAATGAATAAATGAACAACATAAGCTGTAGGTACCTTTTTTATCTTAATGGTATCTTTAATAATATAAAATATTATCTTTATATGGTTAAATACTTGTGCATTTTATACACACTCATATAGGTACATACACACACCCCAACAATACTTGCCTAAAACATAGTACCTATACAATTATTTACAGTTTATACTTATATTCTATTCTACTGACAAAATATTTATTTGTAATTTTCTGATTTATTAACTAACTCATTAATTTTTGTTCTTTATTATACAACAGACAGAATACCTAAAATATGATAGCAAAATATGAAATTTGGTTTTTATTTTCATGGTTTTTTTTCTTTTGGTTTTTTTTTCCGTGGACTTTTTTTCATTTGGTTTTTTATGTTTTGGTTTTTATTTTTTGGTTTTTTTTTCGTGGTTTTTTTTCCTTGGTTTTTTTTCCGCACGCCAGATAACCATATAGGTGTCCGAGTTAAAAACTCGATGCCTCGATAGTGTTCTTAATATAGACTAAATTTGAGACCAACTATAATTTGTTATAAACAATTATATAAAAACTGTTTAGAAAAGAATAATGTAAATTATTTACTCAGATAAAACCCTAACTAAACGTACGCTACTGTTTACTGTACAAGTCTTTCAAGGATATTTACGTAAATAGGTAACAGACGTTACGATGTCAGGCAGGGCCTGATTTACCAATTTATGGGCCCAGTACAATTTACAATTTTGGGCCCCAAATTGTCCTTCTCTATTTTCTTCAATGCGAAAATAAAATGTATGCATAATGTATTTTTAAATTAATGTTGTATGTAATTAGTTGCTTATATATGAGTTAGATCAATACTAAATAGAATAAAATTGTATTGTTAAAAATTTGATTATTCAATATACAAGAACACTACACTTTCAATGTGTCTAATTAATGTTTAATATTTATTCCAGTAAATAAATACAAATTAAAAAGCAATTTTTGAATATTATACTTATATAATATATATCACACTAAGTGTTTTTAAGTCAAATTTGATTTCAGCTAATCAGCTTTCACAACCATTTCGATTGTGCGCAGATAAACTAGTTTTAAACCTAAATTTATCTAAACAACCTTGTAGTTTTTTTTGGTTTTTCATGATGTTTATTCTTTTATAATTTCTCTTCATTGAACCACATAATTATTTTTTTGACATTTTAAATTATTAAAAATAATAAATAAATGACAATTAATAGATATATAACAAAATATACGACTGACGTATATCAGATATTATTACTCAAAACAATAACATCAATATAGTAATATTACGATGATAAAAACGGCAATTAGATTTAGTGATCAGCAAAGTTGATTAAGGTCGTCATTTTCAGGGAAAACTATACTTTATAACCCACCAAAATATCCAACTAAAATCCAAATCTATTTTGTTTTCCCAAAGTATGATAAAAAAGTATACAATTAATTTTGTATGCCTGAAGTTGGTGGGCCCCTCTTATGAGTGGGCCCCAGTGGCGCACCCAAGGGGGGGGGGCTTTGGGGCTTAATCCCCCCCCCAAAAAAAAATATTTTTTCATTAAATTACACATTATTATAGAAATTATAGTATAACAATGATAAATGATAATGTTTTATTTTAAAATGTTGTTATTATGTTAGATACACATATAATATTAATATATATATATATATATAGTTCAATACTACGCGATAAGGTTTGTGACAATCAATATACTCTACGGTGGCTATCGTCAATTTTTATTTCGTTGAAAATTATTTTTAGATTTATAGATACTATAACGATTACGTACGGTCAACTTTGATTGTTAACTACGATAACAATGATAATTATGACCTAGGTCCTAGACTGTACCTAGACTAACAAAACACCAAACTAAGCGATGTAATACACCATCTGAAAATATTGAAGAATACTATAGACGTTCAATTTTTATTCCATGGGTCGATTCATTTCTTAATAGTCTTTCTGATCGATTTTTAAAACATAAAAATCTCCTAACAATTTATAAATGTCTTTTACCAACCGGACGTAATCCAACAGATGAACAAATTTCAAGTTTTAAAAATCTTTTTGACTTTTACGAAAAAGATATGCAACAAATTAGTTTTTCTGTCGCAAGGCCGAATTCGAATTGTGGTATGAAAAATTTAAAAACTGTGGTTATACTTTACCGCTAAACGCAATTGATGGTTTAAATTTATGTGATATTAAAATTTTTGAATCAGTATTTATACTTTTGAAAATATTTGCAACGTTACCAGTAAGTACAAGTACGGCTGAGAGGTCGTTTTCCACACTACGGCGAATTAAAACCTATCTCCGGAACACAATGGGACACTCACGTTTAAATGGTCTGGCAAATCTCCACATACATCGAGAAATACAAATTAAAGAATCCGAAGTATTAAAAATTGTTTCTGAAAAGGGGCCCAGGAAACTTAAATTTTAAATTCATTAGTCATAATATTTAGTTATAAATATAATTATATAAATATTAAATACATAATAATATAACATATTATATAACATATGATAATAATAAACAAAATTGGTTGTTTAAAAATTAGTTTTAATTGTTTACTTGTGTGTAAGGGGAAAAGAAAAATTATTAAGCCCCCCCCAAGCAAAAATTCTGGGTGCGCGCCTGGTGGGCCCAGTGCAGATGTCCCATTTGTACTTGCATAAATATGGCCCTGATGTCAGGTGGTTTATTTAGCTAATAGCTTGGCAGCTTGTGAACTTGCACAATAAATAATAATTGAACATTTCTAGAGAATTGGAAGGTAACATTATTCTTAAATTTTAAAATATATTTTAGGTAGTTAAATTGCGTATAGGTGGTGGATACCTTTAACTCTTATAAGGTTAAGGAGCAAACTAATACTTTTACGTAAGTCATTAGTCAATCTCACTATAAAGTATACAGACTAAACAATAAGTAGGTATTAAATAAGTACACAGAAGTTAAAGTTCTGAAAATACTATGGGCACACACAGTGCTGTAGTCCTAAAAACATTTACACTCCTTAATCCGCAGTAGGTGAGTTGATTCCCGAGACTTACTTTATGTATTAGTTGATTCCCGGGTCATTAAGATGTATGTATGAGTTGATTCCCTATTGTTGTAGGTAGATACCTATACGAAGGACGTAGGTAAAGGGTTCGACCGTCACACACAACGGGTGAGGGGCGCTCATATATACCGAGACCACATACGAGCTAGCATTCAAATTTTTGCTTGATCATTATAGTTTGCATGGTAAGACACTCTCACCTTTTCAAGTATTCATAGATTTTGAGATTGCGATTCATATGACCAACATCACAAATATGTACGAGGGTGTAGATTTCATCCAACCCAAAACTGGTGGCGGAAAATTCAGAATCTAGGTCTCTCAGTAATTTATAAGGACACTAGTTCAGAAAACGAGACCGGTAATTTTTTGGTCTACCCTTTGTAAACCCAATAGAAGTTATCGATTACTTTACAGACGAGTTGATGGCAATTCGTCCAATAGATAAGGGAAGAATTGTAGTTTATGGACTACGTATTTGATAATTATGTTTCCCAGAAGCATGTTTTCCACCAAGTATATGGGCTCAATTCTTCACTACTTTAAACAGAACTACGAATAGTTGTGAGAGTTTTCATTTGAAACTCAACAGTTGTTTTTATAGTGGGCACCAATATTTATGTAGGTACCTATTTATAGATGAGCTGTTAGAAGTGCAGTCGGAAACGTATATAAAATGCAGAATCAGACGGACTAGAAAATCTTAGAAGAGCCAAGAAAAACAAATTTTTTTGAGAGAAGTAATGTTACGGTAGGTACACTGGTAATAATCTCATTACCAGATACCAATTTTTAAAAACAGTGTGTTTTTAATTTTTACCAAATAACTAAATTTTTTTAATAATATTTTTTTAACCTAATTACTACATTTTTTAATAATAATTTTTTACATTTTTTTACTAATAATTTTAAAATATGAAAAACTAAAAAAAACATAATTTTTGAGAAACTTGTCAGCCAACCTCCTAGTGGTGTTTCTTGGGTTACACTAATAGGCTGAATATTTGACTAAATATTGAAAAAATAAATAAAATTACCAGGGAATCAACTCGTACATACATTTGATGACCCGGGAATCAACTCGTACGTACTTTTTAATGATCATTGATCCGGGAATCAACTCAACAGTATAGTGCAGGTAAACAGGTACCCGGGAATCAACTCGGACGCAGCCCCTTATTCATTGTAAAAAATAAAGTGGGTGATAACCTGATGTGTCTAACCTGCGTACCACGATTTTTGTTATGGGTACACACATAAATATAAAATTAGGAGTTGGGTACCCACGTGTACCCTCCACTACAGACTACAGTACTACACCGCTTGGGCACTTGGCACACACGACACCTTTATTTTATATTATATATTTATATAGGTAGGTAGCTAAATTCCGGGACCAGTAAATAAGTTTTCAACTTACACCAGGGGCGGCGGAACATAATACAATATTTATATAGCGCGCCCTAAATAAATGATAAAAAAAAAATCATGAGATTCATGTTATGGAAATGTTTATTTTCAATGAATCATAAAATAATGATAAATATACAGCTACACTAAAAATTAAACATAAAATTTGTCATTATTATTAAAAAAATACCTCAATTAAAAAACATAAAATTTAGGGAAACTGGAATTTTTATACTCAAAATTGATTATTGTTAACATTTTTTTTTTACTTCAAAAATAAAAAAATGCAGATTTTAAGTTATTACCAAGTATTTATAATTTATACTAGTGTTTTCTATGAAAAATTTATGCAAAAAATATTTTGTGATATTTACAGATATTTTAAAATGTTTACTTTTTATTTTTTTATTCTATTTATATATAATACAATTTTTGTTTATAGCACAAATATAAGTTGAGGTTCCTCATGTTGTTCTTACAGTAAATAAAAAATATCAAAAATAAAGTCATAATTTTTTTATAAGTATTCAAAGTCAAGACTATTATTAAATTCATCAACATTTACAAACTATTTTGTAGTTTAAAATGTATTTTTATTTTATCACCATTTTATTTCAAATTTAAAAATGAACACATTATTAAGAGGTGTAATATTTATAAATCATAAAAGAAAATAAGAAAATAAGAACTAACACTACAATTGTAATAAAGCTTTTATAAATTAATAAAATAAAAAAGAAATACATCATTAAATGTATAATATTTATAATTTAGACAAGGAGTATGAAAGGGGTCCAATGTCTACTTCTGCCCACCTTCTCAGAGCCACTGAATATTTACATTATGTATAATAAATAATACTATATATTAAATTATTTTTATTTATTTATTTGTTAATATTATTGGATATTAAGATAAGCAGGTCATGACACCACTGTTTTTTAATCTGTTTTTGTTTGTTTGACTGGGATAGTTCATGATGAACGTTGAGTGATAATAGTGCATTAGAACGAATGGTTATTGAAACACTTGTAGTAGAATTCAGATAGTGACATTATTTTTTTTTCAATCAGTATGTAGGGGAATCATTAAAGACTTATAATAGAAGTTTTGAGATGGTAGGAGTTAGATAAGACATTTGCATCGTCATATATAGGTAAGATACAATTTAATCAGAGTTTTTCAAATACTAATGATCGAGATAATTGGAAGGCGATTAGCCTGTATGAGGAAAGGCAGTTTTAGGTTTTAAGATTTAGATGATGTTAGAATATTTACATGAAATAGGGAAATAAAAATATCTCGGTCACTGTGTTGAATATTTGAGTATGGTACATTTTAGTTTTACTATGTAAGATGTTTGATTATTTAGGTGTATTTAGGTCAAAACATGTGGATATTTAGGGAGAATTTACAACCAGAACTAATTTATTAAAATTAAAAATAAAAATAGTTTTAAAAATTATATTACAATCATAATACATTGAATAATAGGTCTTTTATCAATATTATTTTAAAAGTAATTTTTATATTATTAAAATGTTTTTACAGTCTTTAAAGTTAAATAATAGTAATAATCAATAATAATTAAACATAAATTATAATAATATATTTTTAAAAATAAATAATTTACGTAACTAACACAATATATGATTAATTTTTATATTAGTTAATGGCAAAAATATTTTACCAAAATAAATTATAAACACATAATAATATATTGTTATTAGTTTTTTAACACTTTTATAGTACTACTTTTCTGTTATGTAGTTCAAACTCATAAGCGCTATCAGTTATTGTAGGATCTAAATTTGAATCAGGGAAACTCAATGGTAGTATAGCTCTAATGTCAAATGCAGTTGGGCGTAATGTTGGATCTGGTGATAACATTAGGCATAACAAATCGTACTAAAACAAAAATTAGTGATAAATATTTTTATTAATAAATATATTTTTATTTCATTTAAAATGATTCACTTACTTCTTTTTTACATTTTTTCAAAAAATGAGGAGGAAATATATTATTTCTAAGTTGAGTTAACGTTTGGAACCTTTCCATTTCGGTAGTAAAAGGATTGAGCAATTCAAAAAATATAACTCCAAGGGAGTAAATATCTACTTTAAAATTATATGACGTTCCAGATATCTGTAATATTATTTTAAAAATAATTAGGTATCACTAAATGTATACATTATTTTACATTGTTTACCTGTTCTGGACTCATATACAATTGGGTACCAACTCTGTCAGTGTGTTGTTCATTTAACCATTTTTTTTTATTTTCGTGTTTACTGATCCCTTCACCAGATTCTATCATTTCTGTAACTAAACCAAAATCACCTATTTTGATTTGGCCATCTAATGAAAAGAATATATTTGAAGGCTAAAATAAAATAAATTATAATAAATTACTAAAGTAATAATTGCACTATAAAGATTTAAAATAAAAATATAGAGTATACTTGATTTTGACCACCATACCAAATTAAATTATTTTTAGTTATCCCATTAAATTATTGAACTATAAAAATGTCTAAAATATGAAGTCTCAGATATGGATAAAATTTCAAAATCAATATAATTATAAACATTAAACATTTTAAACTAGGTATAATGAATAGATGGAATAATATTATTTAGTTAGGCACCTAAATTGATTTGCATTGATTTCATTGAAAAATCTTATGCAGAATAGTAAAATATTTCAACAGAAAAATTACTGAATAAATAAATTAATCTTAAACTGTTTACAATCCTCAATTTCATATACAATGATCCCCTTATTTAACAGTAAACTATAAATTAAACAAAATGTAATAACTAATAACTATAATAATTAATTATTGTTTATACTTTTAAATCCCTATGTATTAATCCTTGCAAATGAACATATTCAACAGCTTGTATAATTTGGCTAAAAATATTTAAAATATACTTCATATCTCGATTTTTAGTATTATCTTTCAGCCATTCTCTTAAACTATTTTTATGGCAAAGTTGCATTTGTATGTATAAGTAATGTCTAGTCGTCTTTCGCTCACTATGAGCATTGCTTGTTGTATCACACTCAGATTTATACCTCCGCCGTTTACTAGCTTTAGTTAAGTTGTCAGAACTTATATCTAATACGCAATCTTTTGTATTGGTGTCACTTATTTGACTTTCAAACACAATAAAAGACGAATCACTTTTATCATTATATGACCGTAATGCATGAGGGTTATTCAATATATCAGATAATTCTTCACTGCTTTCTGGAAGCGTTATCCATGTTGACAAACTTTTTGCTCGAACATGATGTTTATTTTTACAAACATTAGTATCTAGTTTTTCACTCATTGTTAGATTACTATTCATGTCCATATCACTAGAAAACAAACACAATATTATAAAACAAGTATATGACTATTTTAATCAAAAATATCAATTTCAAACTATTTAATTAATATTAAGTATAAAACTAGGCTATTATATATTTTGTTCATTTTCTGCATGGTATCAAATAGGAATAATAAAAACTATTTGGCCTAGGTAGTTAATGGTACTACACTATGATTTATTAATTTTCCTTTTGGGACTTTTTGCCAAATACATTAGTATGGGCTTTTCAACTGACTCACTAATTGATTAACCTATTGTGATTAGTCTTGATGGCCTAGTTTAAAGTTTCTTGGATCTATTACCCACAGAAAACTCATATGCTTTTTGGTTTGCTAATTTATTTACCCAGACTTTTTCAACCAATCATCATCATGTTTTTCTTGCCAGCCACTTGGTGGTTCTTCAAGCCAAGTATTGAAATACCGTACAATATGTTGATGATCTAACTTTGCTAATGCTTTAACTTCACGAAGTACACGATTTCTAGATTCTTCTCTAATATAAATAAATAAAATTATAAAAATAGTTTATGTAACACAGTATTGAGTATTTAATATTTATTATTAATTACTATAAGTTTATTTTCATAAACTACAGTGTAGTTTATTAATTAAAATTTATTATAATAATTTGTAATCTTCTATAGCACTATCATCTTACTTTGATGGTAAAGGTATTCTTTTAATCGCATAGTGGCAGTCATCAATTTTATTTCGAGCCTCAAAAACAATCCCAAAACCTCCTTTTCCTAAACAATGGATTGGTTCAAAATCTTGTAAATATCGTGATTTAAACTCTACTATTGGATGTAATTGTTTTTGAACAATATTGTCTAATGAAAATTCAACACCAGAGTCTTTACAACAATCAATATTGTTTTCAATCGGTTCTATACTTTTTTCAAAACCTTCATTTTTTTTCTGATAATAGAAATTACACAATTATTTATTTTATAAATTAAAAAACTCTGTATATATTTTAGGTAAATAGTAATTGAACTTACTGAACGGTTGTGTATAAAAGTAATTATTCGTGCTAAACGAGACGGAATAAAGATGTTTATCAAAATGGCTGTTATAACACTTATAAATAATACTTCTTTCCACCAATACCATAGCGAAACAATAATTATTTCAACTGGCATGTCAAGTCCTTCTTCATATTGAATAATACTTTCGTGATCATTTTCAGTTTCATTTTCATTTTCACTATTAAAACTTTTATATTTCTTTCCATCTATTAATCTTTTTGTTTTTTGAGGGCCGTTAAGATAAAAACCATTACCTAAAAAAAAATTAAAAAGTAAATATACAAAATGTATACAAAATCTAAAAACATTACCATTGATGTACTCTGATGCATATAGTACTGCTATAGCTGTAGTCTTAGATACATCATCAGTAGTTTGTAAAGCCGAAGGACTTTTTGAAATTAATTGACCTTTTAAGTAATAACAATTAAACAATTAGATTGCATTTTCACTCAAAAAAATTTTATAACCTTTTGTTATTTGGCACAATCAGTGATTTCATTTACATTATAACAACAAGAATAATTATTATTTGCTATATTTTCTAATTATTATCAATTCTTCCAATGATAAGATATTTATTAAAAATATTGTTATTATTTTAAAACAAGGTGCTATTTATTACTTGTCCTGGTTTTGGGTTTTTATTAGAGTTAAAAGAAGTTATGCTCTAAAAATGTACAAATATTTTATGTTTATTTAATAATACAATATTATGCATTAGTGTCTTCACTCTTCATTAATATGATCTTTGAAACAAAATTGTTAGAGTAAACATGAATACTTTACGTGGTGCCACCATTGGATGACTTCCGCCTCCCGCTAATCATCCCCATCCCATTTACTTAATGTAATACATGTAATTATAGATTGTAAAAAAAATTTTTGTTCAATAAAAAAAAAAAATGAACACATATTCCTAAATTAATTAAAATTTAATCTAAATTAAGATAAAATGATGAGTGGGGATTTTATAGTATAATTTCTATAGCTTCCATAATATAAGGTTTACACAATTTTGTAGTAAAAAAATATTTAAATATATAACACCTAAATAATGTGTATATTAACAAGTATAAATAAATATATTACTTTCTTTTTAGTTAATTTTTGTTTATTGACTTAAAATTATGTAAAAAATGTTTTCAAAAATGCTTGAAATAGTGAGTGGTTCATAATAAAAGAATCACCCATAAATTGGGAAATTTTATTCACTATCTGAGAATGAATGGGAAGTTTGTCTGGGGAGATTTATTATTATTTAAACTTGTAAAATATAGCTATATAATATACTAATGCTTTCTTATCAAAAAACTGTTAGTTTGAAATATTTATTTTTGATTTAAAAATATAGATTTTAAGTTCACATTATTAAATATATGTTATAGGCTGGTATTTAAAATTAAAAAAATTAAGTTCAATGTAACCCTAAGCGTTATATTATAACAAATTGTTATTATTTTAAATGCCAAATTGAAAAAAAAATAAAATAAATTAAATATGCATGCATTAAAAAATGAAGAAAATCGAAAAATCAAAATCTGAATATTTTAATACATTTTACAATGCAGTTGTGACCTTTTTTTATATTAACACTTACTAGAAACTGGTATAGGTTTCCAAGGTATCCTAGATTTATTAATTTCATTCCCTTCAAGAAGAAGTGATTGTAGATATGAAATTGGATTAACTGCAAATACTTTATCATTTTCTTGAATATACAACTGTATAAAGTATAGTAAATGTAATTAAGAAAAATCATAAGCTATATTACTATACTAATTTTAGATTGCACAACAATTTAATACATTTTTCTCTAATTAAACCAGGTTCAGTACCTGGTTCAGTGGCGCAACTACGGGGCAACTACTCTGAAGCATCCCCCTCTAACTTTAATCACACCCAAACTTACATGTTGTTGTTATTTCAAATAATTGTTTAATTAAATTAATTTCAAGTTAATACTTTTTACAATTTTAAATTTAAAAAAAATCTATAACAGTCTATGATTTTAGAATGTAATAAATTCTAACACGGTATTTTTGAAAACAGAAATGCTTGTAGGAAAAAAAATGTTCAAAAAATAGTACAGATAACATTTTCTTTTTTTTAGTAGAAGAATTTCCTAACTTGTATAAATTAATGCAGGTTGCATTAACCATTATTTCTGTTAGTTCTGCAATATGCAAGTGAAGTTTTTCCTGAATGAGGAGATTAAAAAAATGGCTAAAAGGAGTATGGTACAGCAGCGTTGGACTAACTTAAGTGTTATGAATATTGAAAGATCTGGAAAATGAAATTCTTCCGGAAAAATTACTGAATACATTTGCTACCATGGATAGAAAATTATGTTTAACACTAGAATCAGGCACGTATTTTAGGGAGGGAGGTGGCAAGTATACCCTGTTGCCTGGGGCGGCAAATTTTATTATTTTTATTATAACCTTCCATCAAAAGCAAATATTACAGCTCAAAAACGTATATTGTTTTCATCAATTAGTTGGAATATAATATTAATAATTACAAAAAAATATTTAAGGTTAACTATGAAAATCTTACGACATTTATGTCACAAAATTATAGGTACCTTATATTTTAAGAAATAACTTTTTGTGTGGATGCAGAATGTTCAAATACAGCCCAGACTAGTATATTATAAAATACAACGCTTTTAATTTTGTTTTTCTAACAATGATATTGTGAATATAATAATTAATAACAGTATATTAAGCTAAATATTATAAATGTATAACATTGGGAGTATGCAAATGATTCATAATTGTAGCACCCCCAAGACTTCAACTCTAGTTGCGCCACTGATTTTGTTATTTGATGTTTAAGAGACTGTTAAATGAATTAATATATTAAACTTTAATATACATTTGTACAACCCAATTTTAGTACCTAAGAATCAATAAAATTATAATCCATTAAGTTTATATAAATTATTGTACTTGTTTCTTATGCATGCCAAGATAAATTACAGGATCTATAGAATTCAAATTTTGATCGGGTTTAAATAAATCAATTGATTCAACTTTCCCATGTTCAAACTTCCAAACATTTACAATGGGAGACTCCGACTAAAATTTAAATTTTACATTAATATAAATTAATTAAAATATATAAAAAAAATACTTTGTGAGTCCAAACAACTTCTTGAGGCCGGTCAAACGCTACGGCTGTGATAACTCCATTAGGAATATTTATTTTAAAATCAAGTTTGATACTAGGATTTGTAGTATGACAATTATTATTTAAATCCATAATTACTTTTATGTCATGTAACCCAACACTAAAATTCCACCTAAAACATTCAAGGATATAAATTGTTCAAAATATAATTGTACTACAATAAATTGTACTACTATAAATTAAGAATATAAGCAATGTTGGTAAGCCCACTATGTTAATCAGTAATCTGTTGTATAAGTCATATAAGTGGCGCCAAACATGAATCTCAAATAGAACAAATACCAATAACATTTAATACCTCAGTAGTCTTTGTAGGAAACTTAACTAAATATTATTTAAATTTCAGATATACTGCATGCATGCATATTGTGAGTACATTTCCTTCTTTTTTTTATTGTTCAGCAACTATGGTTTTAGTGTAAGTGGAAATCTAAAAATATTTTTCACCTCAATGATTTAAAAACATTTTGACACCACTAAGTCTATGAATAATTACAATTCTATCCAAAAAGAAAATGCGTTCTATAAAATATTGATTAATAATTTTTAGCACAGGTAATATTAATAAGCAAGATCCAGCAGAAGTTAACTTAAAGAGAAAACACATATTATACTGTATTCACAAAATTGCCTTAAGTTAATTTTAAATTAAAACTAAAACTCTACCTTTCTATTCCAGTAAGTGTGTCTGATGCTCGGACAGTTTGTGTTTGTGTCTGTAAAATCAAAATATTTCCATCTATGCTCGTGAAACTATTAGTTGGAAAATTATTACACTGATCCATATCACATTTATATAATAATTGACCAGTGCTCATATCAACACCATATGTTCGACTTATCTTTCCACCTTTAATATTAACAGAAATATCTAGTTAAACTAATATATTTATTAAATATAGGTACCTAAAAAAAAAAAAACATACCAGACATTGCTAAACCATCATAGTATGGAAAATATGACTTTAATAAAGAATCGACTGTAAATGGTAGACGATCAAGATTTTCACCATCAAATGTGTACAAACTGCCACTCAACGATGGAATCATTCGTACCCAAAGACCATTATTTGATAGCTTCAAATCAAATGAAATTAATTAAATTAATAAAATATTATAATCAGGAGTTTATAATTTTCATTTATTTAGTAGGAATTATATTACTCTACTGCATAGTATGGAATACTATTAAATTGTTCATTATCTAATACCTCATATTATGTTTTTACACATATAATAAATCATTTTACTTGTTTATTAATCCATTCTTTTTTTTTTACCTCTGGTTGGCCAATAGTAGAAGATAACAATGCTCCTGGCTCAGTTGATAATTTCCAAGCTTCTGTTCCACCATTAGCAGTATTTAATGCTGTAAGTTTTCCATCCAAAGTACTTATGAATATAAATCTGTCATGCATAAAATATTTATATTACTATAAATTATGAACACTGTCTTCATTATTTACTCACTGTTTATTGACTTCATGATTTCCTGGGCAAACTGGTTTGTCACAGAGGACAAACACAGTTTGAACTCCAAAAACTATAAACACAACTTTTAATAGATACTTTATTATGATAAAATTCATTGTTTACAGAATTTATTAAAAAACTCAAGACATACTTAAAATAATTATAAAACTTGGTCACAGAGACACAGAATACAAGACTACAAGTCGAATACAAGACACAAATATTGTTGATAACAATGATAACAATAATAATAATAATAACAAAACATTAAATTAATAATAAATATATTTTTATCAAGAAAATAACACAACATAATATTATTATTTAAAAAATGTAGATAGTGATACTAGAAACATGCTAAATAGGAAGTATCACTTCTAAATTCTAATAAAGAATAATAATATCCTGAATCCTCTATACTATACCTACGTCTATACCATGATCGGCATGATCACTTGTCAATTATTCAAATTTTATAATTTTAATTATTTTATTAACAGTACCTATTATATTATAATATAATTTAGTATAATAGTATTATTAGTATTATATAGGTATATAGTATTATGCTGTTTGAATTTTTTTTAATTAATATTAATTTGCATAGTTCTATATAATTTTATTTTATTTATTCATGAAGTACCTACTGAAGTATGTTAAAAAAAAATATAGGTAATTATCTGATGAATTATAAGGAAGATTCAAGTGACATAAATTCAAATGCGGAGAGATGATCAAGCAATATTACTAAACAATATTTTTAAAAAAAGCACACATTGCAAAACAAATATTCTTTTCTGTGCTCAAAATCTAAAAGGTGAGGGGATCTATCCATATTTTCCATGGGTAGGCCCCTTAGGAAGGAGCAATTTTTTTTTACCGGGCCTAGGGGGTGCCAATTTTTTTTTGCACTGGAGAGCAAAATGTCTAAATGAGGCACTAGCGTACTGCATGATAATATTTACGAATATTATTATACTCAAATATTTAGTAGTCACTAGTCAATAGTCTATATTATAAGCATTAAGCTTAGACATAGGCATAGGCGAAACTAGACACTTTTATTAGGGCAGGCCAAATGAAAAATTATTGTATTAATGTGTATAATAATAATAATTAATATGGTATTATATTTTAAATAATAATCACGGACTAAGATACTTCTATCTTAGTCCGTGATAATAATTAAAATATTTGACTTATCCTCTATCTATAAAAAAAAATATTCTAATTAATAATTATCTCTCCATGATTTTCTTATGTTAAACGTAAGAATCTTGTGAACGATCGCTTTGGCAGGTCAATGATAAAAATATGAATTTATAATAAAAGAAATAATATGAAAATATTAAAGTATATATGGTATATAGTAAACTAATAATAAATAAATACTTAAAACGATTTTAAACTAGCACAGCCGTTGTGCGGTGGTGAAAATATTTCAAGCAATATAACAAAGTTTGTAGTTACTTACAAAAAAATAAGACGTACCTACAAAACTACCTACTTGGTCTGATTCTGATAAGTTTCTTAATAAAATAGTTTTTTTTAATATTTTCATGATAGAAAAGGCTTGCTGATGCTTAAATCGAAACTGGTAATGTAGCCAATATTTTCAAAAGAAAATATATTTAGAAAAAATTCAGAATTACATTTACTACCTACGCTTCAGCCTTTAATAGCCGAATAAGTGTAAAAACGTCTTCAATGAGTTATCGTCATTAGTCGATAAAATATTGTTACATTATAGATACCTATTTATTAAACATGGCAAAATAAATGTCAACAAAATTCGTATTCGCAGTTTTGCACAATTATATAATATGTATAAGGCAATAACGCCAATAAAGGATACTTGTATAACAATACAAACTAATCAATTATCATATTATTAGGGAAAAAGGGTTAATATTATTATAATTAATTTAGTTACCCCCCTCCCACAAATACGGCCTAAGTTTAAGATTTATTTTTACGTTTTATTAAAAATAAAAATATGTATAACAATTGTTAATACTACTATAGCAGTAATTTAATGATTTTGACGAATTATGACAAGATACAAACATATAGATGTATAGTGGCATTAATGCTATAGCAGTAATGAATAAGTGACACTCTAACGGATGCTTGTAGAACAAAAGGGTATTTCCAACTGTCCATAAACTTGTTAATCACAGCTTTATCTTATATTATGATTTATGACTCACAGCTGATGTCAAAAATCTAATATTCAGATTTTATCAGCTTGTATTTTAATTTTTAAACATACATTTTGTCAACTTTTTTTATATGGTACAAGTTTGTCCTATATTTTTTCTGTTAATTCATTCTCCTATAGCATCTAAAACAATTTTACTTCGTCTGTAGACATTTCCATTTTTATTTTCCTAATTAATTCCTAATAGATCTAGACTTTTTTGTATGTTAACATTTTTTATGGTTATTTTGACCTAAAGTCAAGGTAGGGACGAAAATAGGTACAATTTTTGGTTAGGCCTTATTTACTTTTATATACTGTAAAATGTAAATATAGCTAAATATACACAATATCATGAATGTTATATCCTCATTAATTAAAAATAATTGCTTAGCAATAAATTAATAAAAATACAACTAATTGAGTTTGTTACAGAATGTAAAAGCTATTTTTAATAAATGCTTGTTATAAAGAAAATATTAGAGCTTGTGATACTATCAACTCATCCGCTCTTTTAGTTTTGTAGTGCATTATTTTATATCATTTACAAATGCATATTATGCTTAAAAAAATAATATTTACATGTCTAATTTATATAGCAACTAAATATAACAAAAATCTAATTCATAAGTTATACATTTTATTATAAAATAAGTTATAGTCCAGGTAAAGATGAGGAATCAGAATTAACAAAACTGTCAAGATTGTCAAGTATGTCGTAGTTGATTTTTGATGACAGTTTTTTCTTTTTCAAAACTCGTTCTACAGCTTCAGCCGCTGTCTTTGCTGGTGTACGTAATGCATTTTTGGCTTTTTTTTCTTTAGCTCTGATAACCTTTGGGTTTTTAGCTCTTTCTTCCCTGCTCAATTGCATCTTTCTGAAAGCAGTACCATGCATTTTCATCCACATATTTCTCTTGATTTGATGGCTTTCCTTAGACAGAATATAAGAGTCTATTTCATCTTCATCTATTACAACATCACACAATGATTCCTCTTCGTCGTCTTCTTCATAAGACCGTTTATTTTCCGATAAACCCATAATTTCTAACGAAGGCCCTACATTCACAGGTTTGCAACTGCTTCCTGGTTCAGGGGATGCTGCTGCTGCTATTTCAACCAAGTTGACACCTAAAACAGTAGTATTTTTTTTCTTACTTAGTTCTTTTTCAATCGCAGTTTTTACTTCATCGATCACTTTTTCACTATCATTTGCTTCAAAAAACTTGTCTATGCGCTCCTTATCTTTAGCACGAGCTACTCGATAGGATGGAGGATCATGGGTTTCTTCCAAGTCCACAGTCATAAACTCTTCTATTGACAACATACTAGAAGGTGTGTCTTTGAACTCCAATAACCGTTTCTTCAAAGTGGCATGGTGACAATGAACAACTTTAATAATGTCATCAGTAGTACGGTTAAAATCATGCATACGCCCTGAAATCAATAAAGCTGCACCACATAAACTGGACGGTCTTCTACCTAAAATATGAAACAAGAGATTAGACATAGACAATGGACATAATTTGATATTGAATTGAATTTGCAAAATAACATAAAATAACTCAAATTATAAGTATACACAAAATGTGCACGCATTCCATAAGCAACTGCTTGTATTCAGTGGCGTAGCCAGGATTTTAAAATGGGGGAAGTTGAAAATGTGCTTTCCGGTGTCGTTGATGTAACCGGTGAAGTTGCAAATAATTGTAGTAGTAATTTTACATTAGGTAATACATTTGTACAATTTGCTCCGGGAGGAAATATTGTGGTATTGCAGTGGTGGCCCACCCACCAGTTACTACAATAATAATATTAACAACCAAATTGATAAAAACTGATAAGAAAAAAAAATATCAAACAAATTGATGAGGGTTAAGAGCAAATACAAATTCAACAAATTTTTATAAGTACCTATTTATTTCATACGTACAATATAATAAATTATGCAAAACCATTGATACGGCCGACGGAGGAGCCATGGCCCACTTCCCCCCCCCTTGGATACGCCACCACTTGTATTGAAGGTGTAGAATTCTTAAATTAAATGTTGGTAAAAAAATTATAGACTACGGTATAACTGAGTAAGGAACTACGGCTTACTAAGGTTATTACAAATATATGTAGATGCTGTATAATGAATGATAAATTAACAATACCTGGCTGTTAACAGACCACATTAATAAATTTACCTGTATGAATTGAGTCCCTCATCATTCTTTGCAGTAATCGCATTGCTGTTGTATACACAATATGGGTTTTATCACCAAAATCCAGAGAATTAACAAAACGCATAAGAAAAATACTGGGATCAAGACTAGGCACTGTCAGAGTCAATGTTTGCATCATTCTCAGGTATGTCTTTCCTAGCTCAAATGCATTAACTTCACTAGCATCAGCTACATCTAATAGCATGTGCATAGTGCCTTCCATACGGCACGCTATGTAAACAGATGCTGCATAGATTAAGGCATTCTTTCTGCCTCGAGTAAAGTGCCTTTTCAATGCCATATTGTAATAGACGCAAGCGTTTTCCAAGGTTTGAGGACTAAGGTTGAGACTGTTGCTTAATACTTGTATACCACGTCTAGCTTTGGCTTGAGTCATTTCTCGAGACGGTTGCTTCATGCCATGGTGGAAAGCGCTACCAAAGTTATGGAAATTCGCAGCTTGAGAATCAGATGATAAAAACTGTCCAACAGCACGAGATCCATGATCAGTTTCTTCAAATTGGACTTCAGAGACAATATGTGATTCGTCCATGACTCCACCACAATCCATGCATACTGTTGGTCCATCACTGGAATCGAGGTTCAGGGAACCACAGTCTGAACACTTCATAATTGCTGCTGCTTTAAACCTAATTATTCAAAAATTAAATTAATAATAGTTGGTAAACAAAAAAATATATTTAACAAGAATTTAATTCAAACAAACATAACTTAAACAAAATGGCAATGTTAATTATTAAATGTATATTATTTATTTTCAACAAAATATAAGCCAGGTAAGACTGTCAGTGGCAGATTCAATCGCCGTAACTCCCGTAGTTTTACAATATGTTTAGCTAATTTTTGTACTTTTGCCCTCCCCTCCCAAAATTAAGCTCTGGATCCGCCACTGAATACTGTGTGTGGTTTTAAACATAACTGATTGGGTATTTCTGCAGATGGCAAACAAAAATGCCTACTAGCAAAATTTAAAATATGTGGTTCAATACTCAGCGAAAATTAATGTGTAGACTGTAAAGTAGGTGCAGAAAAACGATGAAACCAATTTTATCGAGTACCAGAACTATACTTTGAGTTATGAAGATCGTTGATGACAGTGATGAGGTCTATACTTTAAAAAGTCGGTTTGTCAATACTGGTCATTGGGGAGTGTACACGGTAAACCATAGACATATTAATAATATGCCTATGTGGTAAACACAAGGGAGACTGGTTGGTGCGAGTACCTAGAAGAAAAGTTCTAATCAAATCCATTTTAAAACCAAGGAGTAATAGGTAATAAATAATTATTAATTGTAATAATAAAGTGTCATGTATTATTGTATTTATGTCCAAAACCACGCGCATGTACGAAAACTAGTAGACTACAATATAGTATGAAATAATACATGTTCCATGAAAAAATCATTGATCGTAGCTTAAACGTTCGAGTAACTTCAAGCGTTCCAAACTTCTAAAAAATCTACAGACGGTCTAGTGTCAAATCACGTGGAATCGGTTCGTGTCAAAAATAGGTTAACGATTGGCAGATAAAATGGCTTTTAAAATAGTAATTAGTTTAGTAGTTTTACCTTTCACGTTCGACAATTCGTAGTTTGTACACACCACACCAAAAGACTGCCACAGCGCCACGGCTACCATCAACAGATTAACCAGACTGCCTAGTGGAGTGCTGAGTGGCGAGCGCTGACTGTTGACTAGTAAATGGAGACTGCTGATCCGGCTATCCGAGTTGGAGTATGTCTATATATAGTTGAATGTATCAAAAATGGAATAATAAATTATAAATATATAATAATATTACCCAGAATATTAGTATTATAAATAGTAAAATACTATTATTACGTCCAGTGTGTTATCGCTTATCAGTTATCAATGACGTTTCGTGTTTACAGTATACTTGTATCACAGATTTCTATATATTGACTACAGACTAGTCTGTACATCACAGACTTCTATACTACACTAGATAAGGAACTCTTATACAATTTACATTGTTACAAGTGAAGCTCAGCTGTGAACGGCCGCCATTTTGTCGGTTGGCAAAACATTTCATTTATTATACAAAATGTATTAGGAATAATATTTTTTTTAACGGTCAAATAAAATAGTAAATGTAAAATGACTTATATAAAATATTTTTTTTTTTTGTAAACTAAATGTTTAAAAATAATAAAATACGATATAAAATAAATCATAATATCATCTTATTTGTCATATGAAATACCATACAATTGCCAACCGACCTTGAAGCTTCAATTCATGACCGGAGTTCGCTATCTAGTAATATATAGAAATCTGTGGTATACATGAGGACTTGAGATAAGGAGGCCAAATTGCCAAAATCTGCAAACTCAACCCAGACCCATTAGGTCTGGCAACTATATAATCCCCCGTTATGAAGCTCTTATTGACGGATCCCGCTCCGGTGGCGCCATCTACCGGCCAAGCATATTATTATTATTTCGATGATTGTCGACTTCAAAAACTTTATGTATTGTGAAATGTGAAAGTTTAACTGTATTTGATGATATTGTATAAGGATTAATCACTAAATTTGAATCATTCACTTTCCCATGTGCAGAACATAAAGATTACATTATTTCTTATTCGATAAAATACCACATAAGTAATGCGACAGTACACGAGACAGTCAAATCAATATAAATCTCATGACAAAATCTATTTTGTCATGATAAATCTAAAGAAAACTAAAAAAAAAAAAAGATGCTCTGCTGTACAGCAGGTTACAACCCACCAAGGTTATAATGGATGGTATTAAATTTGAATTCAATGATATAATAATATTGTATAAGAAAAACGATTCTGAGCGGAGACGGTATGTCAGTCTAGGTATAAGCAGTCTTGTTAAGTATTCGAATATTTGTATTTAAATACTTTTAAAATTCTTTTTAATCAATGTATCTTAAATACTTAAAAAATACTTTTTATTTGTATTTATATTCTAGAATACTAAATACTTTTTTACATTCTTATGTTCTACTCCAATTTCAATTTTCAATATTTTGTAATGTACTGTTTTAGATTTTGTTTTTAAAATATTATTTTATAATGGTTCTAACTTCTGAAAATTTATAAATAAGATTTTAGATTTCTCCAAAATATAAGCTGATAACAGAATTACTGAAACCCCCGTCAGCCCCTCACTCCCACTTACCATGCATACGGGACACACACCACCACGACTAGTTCTTAAATCTATAAATAGTGTTTATTTTCAAGTTGTAATAACATAATAACAATAATACTATTTTAAATTAAAAATGATTATTGTATCTCTTATCTAATGTGTGTATGTGTGGTAGACGGTACTATACAGTACCTAGTTAATAATTAGATATTTGTTATAATATTACATTATTACAAGAGTTGATAATACTCTATGGTCTATGTTTGATGTTTCTTATAATTAAATTTATAAATCATAGTATTTTATTTACCAATTTAATATTATACCAAACGTGCAAAGGCAAACAGGCAACATGAAACAGCGTGTGCATCCTACGTTGTTAATTTTTGTTGTTAGTTGTTAGTTGTTACTTATTAAATTATTAAGTATTATTTTTTAAAAAACAATGGATGAAACCGAAGAAAATTGTGAATTGGACAATCCATGTCCACAAGTGAATATTAGTTTACCATGGCCAGTATATAATTCACATTTTAAAGTAAAAAAAATACTTTTCGACCGTGATATTTATACATTATTTTTAAAGTTTCTTGTATTCATTGTGTGACAACTGACAAGTAAGATTCGAACATAGATAATATAAGAAGATTCTTATATTATCTATGGATTCGAACTGCTGATTCAAGATCTATGCCCAATCTCTGTAAACATTTAAAGATACATATTATTATTATTAAGATATTATTTTTTTTTGTTTACTTATAAATACATGTTAGGCATTTGAAGATTTAGGCCATTGCTGGTAAGTCTAAAAGTCCTTAAAAGTATTTATTATTAATAGTTTAGGTTAGGTTAGATTAGATAACATTGGTCCTTATAAGTAAATAATAGTTTTTCCAATATTTGTTTGATGTTAGGTAAATAAAAACATGTTTTTTATGGAGATAGACTTATTGAAAACAATATAATTTTATAATTATTCTTGTGTCTTGTCACATAATATTATTTCTTAACATCGATCTACATATTTTTTATTACCTATAAGGTTTTTTTTTTTTATTGGTCTTGAAATTTGTAATATTTCTGCTCTGACAACTAGGGCCATTAGCGTTACATTTTTAATAAAATAGAAAAAAAAAATTAATTAATTATATACAATTTTATTGTTTTATAAACAATTTGGATATTTATGTAGGTACATTACAATATTGTTAATGTCATCACAGAATATACAAAATTTCATATATTCTGTGGTGTCGTCTTATAATATTTTAGATTCTGAGGGGAACGATGAATGTATTGATTTTACAATGATGTGTGTTTTTTTTTATTTTTATTTTTGTGTCTGTGTACACGATAAGTAGTCGAAATAATGCTTCGATTTTCAACTTCAGTATCTTGGTCGATTGGAAAGTGAATCTAGTTGGTGCATTCGGGATGTCAAATTTTAAAATTCCCAATAGTTTTTAAAATAATTTGATTTGTTTTGAACTGTTTAGGGACATTTTCATTTTCCATCTTTTTTTAGTTTTTTTTCTAAAAATATCAATAAAATTTTATTTGTTGGTTGCAAAAGCTTGGAAATTTAATAGAAGGCTCCTAGTATATTGTTTCAAAGGCAGATGAAAAATATTAAAAATCCTTAGTCACAGTTTTTTTTTATAAGCATTTAAAGTTCAAAAATTGACAAAATATGGAAAAATCACGAAAATTAGTAAATTATTTTGAGTTAAGAATTCGTAAACATTTTTCTTTTTAAATCTAAGATTTTAAAATGTAATACAAGATTCCTTATAAGATTATCTACCTTTATCAAAAAATAAATGTCTATAAGAAAGTCAAATTAAATTTTATGAGCGTTTGAAATTCAAATTTGTACAACATTGGATATTCACTCGATTTCTCATGTAGCGATTTCCTTATTTTGTTGTAATTCAAAAACGAATAACTGTAGACACATGAAAATTTCACTGAATGTTTAAATTAGTATTTCCTATACACCATACAATTTTAAAAATATTTTGACTCTTTTTGAGCTATTTACGGACATTTACCGCTTTCAATTTTTTTTAGTTTTTTTTCTATAAATATCAATAAAGTTTTATCTGTTGGGCCAAAAAGTGTAAAAATTTAATACAAGGCTCCTGATATTATATTGTTATAATATCAGTTGAAAAATATTAAAAATATATAGGCACAGTTTTTTTATATAAACATTTAAAGATCGAATTTTGACAAAATTTATCAAAATCTCGAAAATTATCAATCATTGTAATTAATAAATTATAAAATGCAAATAAAAAACAAAGGTTCTCATAAATAGTTCATACTGTAAGTCTGTAACCAAAAAATCTAAAAATATATGACCACAGTTATTTTTTACAGACATTTTAAATTCAAATTTGGACGAAATTAATATTAAAAAACCTTGAATAACTATTTTAGTTATTTTGTTGTGATTGAATAATGTTATTCGTGAGTACTTGAAACTTCTAAAGTGTACTATTATATATTTATGATAGTATCACGGTTTTTGTTGATGTATAGCGCGTTATAAGTACCTAATGGACATTGTGATATGATTAATTTGGAATTTATTATAGGTACCTATTATAGGTCAAATTTTGGTTTAGTACCATAGATATGTATATTGTATATAATATGTCTTATACCTAGACTGACATACCGTCTCCGCTCAGAATCGTTTTTCTTATACAATGATATTATATCATTGAATTCAAATTTAATACCATCCATTATAACCCACTTGACCCACTTGTAACCTACTGTACAGCAGAGCGACACCCACTTCCCCACCTTTTTTTTAGTTTTTATTCTAAAAATATCAATACAATTTTATTTGTTGAGTAAAAATACTTCAAAATTTAATACAAGGCTCCTACTACATTGTTACACCAACATTTGAAAAATATTAAAAATCCTTAGTCACAGTTTTTTGATTTAAGCATTTAAAGTTCAAATATTTGCAAAATACGTACAAAATACGAAAATTTGCAAATTATTTCGAGTTATAAAATCATAAAATTTTTTTTTTTTTTAATCTAAAATATGAAAATTTAATACAAGATTTCTCATTAGTTTACATACTTTTATCAAAAAAAAAATGGCTCCAAGAAACTCAAATTAAATTTTTATGAGCGTTTGAAATTCAAATTTTTACAACATTTGATATTCACTCGACTTCTCATGTAGCGATTTCCTTATTTTGTTGAAATTCAAAAACGAATAACTGTAGGTACATGAAAATTTCACTGAATGCTTATATTAGCATTTCCTATACACCATACAATTTTGAAAATATTTTGACTTTTTTTGAGCTGTTTACGGACATTGTCAGTTTTCAATTTTCTTAGTGTTTTCTTCTATAATATCAATAATACTTTATTTGTTGGTTAAAAAAGCATGACAATTTAAGGCAAGGCTTCTGATATATTGTAACAATAGAAGTTGAAAAATATTAAAAATACAAATGCACAATTTTTTTTTATAAGCAATTTGACAAAATTTATCATTTTTAAATTTACAAAAAAGGTTCAACTTTTATAGCTAAGGATTTAAAATTTAAAACAAGGGTAAACGTAAATAGGTAAATATATTAATTACTTTATTCACAATATCATCAAATATATTTCGTAATATCATAGGCTGACTGACTGTTTTCGCTCTGAATCGTTTTTCTTATACAATGATTATATATCATTGAATGCAAATTTAATACCATCTATTATAGAGTGACCCACTTGTAACCTACTTTAAAGCAGAGCACCTTTTTAGGTTTTAATGTTTTATACTTTTAAATAATAATTACTATTATAACAGTAAAAATGTTTATCTATATGTTTTACCTTTGAATGAGTAATAATTAATAAATTATTAAACTACAAATTACTTCTAGAGCGCGCCACCAGAAGGGACCCGACAATAAGAGCATTACTGATTTCTGTAAATTGGTTGTGGAGTTGCATGGGCCTGCTCAATAGCCCCTTCATTGTTCTATGATAAAAATACAGCTGGTTAAACTTTTTTGAGGTTGGGAATTGTAGTAATGAGTTATCACATTACCGCCAAATAGCAAATATTACATGTATTTGAATCATATCAGCTGATTTGAGTAATGCTCGGAATTAGATATTTTAAGATACCTATTTCAATTTCTTGAATAGTTGAATCGTAATTCATATCCGTGGACTGTGGAGTAATGTGTGGTAGTGCGGTAACTTCAAAGTTCAAACTTTTATTATTTATAATTTGAATATTGTTGTTTATTATTAGTAGTTAATATTACCTATATTGATCGTGAAAAGAAAATGTGCGGCCGAACTGCTTGGTGAGCAACTTGTACATTTATAATTTTTCTTTGAGAATGCGGAATGATGATTCACGACATTACCTACTGCATAAAGATATTTACTTGATGTAATTCAAAATTAATTTACTTTACGTAAATTTAAATCAGTGTCTGGAATATAAATATACATTTTACTTTTACTACTTATCTTGAATGCTGAATGTTGACTGAAGGCTAACATAACAATTACTAGTACAATTACTAATACAGTTATATAATGGTTTTGTGGTTTTGTTTTCATTCATAAAATAACTCAAACTATCTTTGAAGCGAGTATCCATGGATTTCAAACCGTTTTAACCCCATCATATTATAATAATATTTAATATTTAATCATAGGCGTGCGCACGGGGGCAGCAGAGGCAGCAAATGCTGCCCCTGGACTTTCTTTGGGGCCACCGGGGCCGGCAAACATTAAATAATGGGCCTCGGTAAAATTATATTTCCACAAAAATTTTTTTTGTTTAGATAAACTATAGATAAATATTTTATATAGGCTTGTAGAAAAGTACACCTTTAGTGGCTTAGTACCTTACTGTACAACCTTTTATCCAAAAAAACAAATAACCAATACAATTTTAATTTTGATATCCAATAGTAAAAAAAGTAAAACTATGGGCTGGTTTTAATGGTGAATTTGAAAGATGGGCCGAATTAATCTCTTGCTGCCCCTGAAACCGGAGGCTGCGCACGCCTATGTATTTAATATTATATTAATAATTTAATGTTCTTGACTAAAGATTTATCACACTGTATTTTAATCTTCTATGTGTTTTATTAGTAACTTGAGATGTGAAACTTATTGCAAAGCAACGAGCTATAAAAAACGTAAAGACACATTGTATTGTCAACCAGAATGGCACGATGAAATGAATGGTAACTTTGAATTTAAGCAGTCCAACAACATAGCGCCTACTGATGTAACTCCTATTCTTGTTTCCGGCGAAGAATTTGTAGGCTACCCATCTAGAATATTGACACCTATGATATGGGGTATGATACCTCCCTGGCATAAGGTAAACTAAATACAAAATATTAGCATTGAGTATAATATATTGAACAATAATAATATAATATACTCAATGATATTATACCTGTTTTCAAAAGAGAACATAGGTACCAGTCATCCCCCCAATTTCCCATTGTTAGCGTGATCATGTGGTTCTCAACGCACAATCGAATCATTCGACATGCTCGAAAGCGATATGTTCTCTTTTGAAAACGGGTATGGTTATCATTATTCATTAACATTGTATATTTTGTCGTTTTATTATTTAAATTAAATTAAGAAATCATTTTTAGGGAAACTTTAACAATCATGGATTAAGCACAAACAATTGTCGAATAGAAAATGTAACAAATTCAAAACTGTACAGTGAACCGTTGACTAAAGGAAAACGATGTATTGTAATTTGTGAAGGTTTCTACGAATGGAAAACTACAGAAGGAGTTGGAAAGAAAAAGCCTTACTTTATACACATGCCCCAAAAAAATGGAGTTAGTACCTATTGAATTTAAGCAATAGCTTTTTTGTGTTTAACCAACAGTCAATCACTGAATAAATAATGTACTCAAAAAGTTATAACTATTAATTGTTATAATTTATGCTATGTATAATGTGAAAGTTAAATCATTGTCTGGTAAAATATAAATAGGTAACTTACAAGAGGTTAGTTTTTGATCATTCAAAGTTTAAATATTTTTTTTATTTTTGTGTCTTATTTAATTTGTACAATCTGTAAAAAATATATTTACAATAAGCACAATGGAGGGATACATAATAGGTTATGGTTGGCTTGTTTGAAGAAGCTATTCAATAATAGCACTTCATGGCGGGATAGTAGTGGTTGGTGGACTAGTCAACTAGTCGACTAGTAGGTCACGGCACCAGCTACGCTTTAAACGTCGGCCAGGGTCGCCCGGGATTATTCGAGATAAGAGGTTTTGAATGAGAGGGTTTCGGTGATTTGAAAGTTTTAGGTGGAAACGTTTGTATCGATTTTTAGCGATATTTTTAATTGTCGGAATGCAGAGGTCCCTGTGGAGGGTAAGTTAAAATATAAATCTCTTATTCTCCTTCTCTCTCTACTCTTTGTATATTTACTTACTACAGAAATGAACCATACTTTAACCAAAATAATTTATTGGATGGGGGCTTAATGAAACCTAACTGTTTTTAGATTCAAATTTGATTTATTTTTTCATGGTGTGCCCTATTTTACTATTCCATGAAGAGGAATGGCGTCCTCTTATACTCCCTACCCACATGTGTTTTTTCCCTCTTACAAGTACGTAACAAAAAATGACACTCAGCAAATCACGTATAGCCCTGTAAGTTTAAAAAATGTAGCAAATCGACCTATTATGAAATTTGATGGTAAGGACATTATCTGTGCTCGTATGTTAGTTTTTTACGATTATTTCGTTTTTAAGTGACTTATGAGCATTTTTAATTTAACAATATTATATACGCATAACTTGCTAAAAATTGAACCATTGTAAAAAACCAACACACAAACACAGATAATGTTCTTACCATCAAGTTATATAATAGGTCGATTCACTTTAATTTTTAAATTAATGGAGCTAAACGTGATCTGCTGAGCATAAATTTGGTATGTTACGCACCTGTGGCTGTAAGACGGAGACAACACATTCAGGTGTGGCATCCTAGTAATATTTTATGATTTATACTGTTTGCCTGTATTTTAGGTATTTTTATGCCTAGTTTTGGGCAATACACCATAGATTGGATTTAAATAACTGGACATTTTAATTTTATAAGAAATATTTTTACTAAGGTTTCAGTTTATGATACAAATGCTTGGGAATCGGCTCAATGGACAGAGCAATCTGGTTGGAATGGACCATCTTTACTTCAATTAGCTGGTATTTACAATAAATGGAAGTCACCCAATGGAGAAGTTTATAGCTACTCAGTTATAACAATGGAATCGAGCAAGACATTTTCTCAACTTCATCACAGAATTCCTGCAGTCTTAGATAATGAACAGCTTATAGAGGTTAATATTGGTCCATGTAATTAAAGTAATACATTATTTAAACATGTATAATTTGAGATTTTACTATTGTAAACGTATTTTAAATACTTAGGATTGGTTAGATACCAGAAGGGTGTCTGAAAGTCGAGCCATCTCTATGCTTCGCCCTATTGATAATCTGATGTGGTATGAAGTGTCAAGCATAGTTAACAACTCACGTAACAAAAGCGAGGATTGCAATAAGCCAATATCTAAAATGTACGTGTACTTTTATTTAAACAATTTAATCAATTGTTTGATTTTAGTTTCAATGTATAATTTATAGTGTAAATTACCTTTTATTATATTTCATTTTCAAACTAATACTATCAATTTATATTTTTATAAATTTCAATATTGTTTATTAAAAATACAAGACTAGAAGTAAATACCAGTATAATTGTACTTATACGTTATAAGGTATGGCATAGTGTTTCTGGTTCTTTTGTATGTATTAATTGCAAATGTTTGCAAAAAATAATGGATTCAATTTTAATTATTTAACTGCCTCAAAAGCTTATTAAAATAATTAAATTTTTTTTTAGATTCTGAGTGAAACGATGAATGTATTGATTTTACAATGATGTGTGTTTTTTTATTTTTTTATTTTTTTATTTTTTTTGTATCTGTGTACACGATAAGTAGTCGAAATAATGCTTCGATTTTCGACTTCAGTATCTTGTTCGATTGGAAAGTGAATATCGTTGGTGCATTGGGGAGGTCAAAATTTAAATTTCCCAGTAGTTTTCACACGCGCCGGGAAAAACAACATAAAAATTAAGGAAAAACGGGAATTTTTACGCAAAATTGATTTTCCAAAAAATCGATTTTGGTTATTGGTGTAACTTTAAAACAAATGAACGTATATACATGAAATTTTCACTGGTTGTTTATATTTGCATTTTCTATACACGATAACATTTTCAAAATATTTTGATTTATTTTGAACTGTTTAGGGACATTTTCATTTTTCGTTTTTTTTTAGTTTTTTTTCTAGAAATATCAATAAAATTTTATTTGTTGGTTGCGAAAGCTTGAAAATTTAATAGAAGGCTCCTAATATATTGTTTCAAAGGCAGATGAAAAATATTAAAAATCCTTAGTCACAATTTTTTTTTATAAGCATTTAAAGTTCAAAAATTGACAAAATATGGAAAAATCACGAAAATTAGCAAATTATTTTGAGTTAAGAATTCGTAAAAATTTTTCTTTTTAAATCTAAGATTTGAAAATCTAATACAAGATTACTCATAAGATTGTCTACCTTTATCAATAAAAAAATCTCTACCGGAAAGTCAAATTAAATTTTTATGAGCGTTTGAAATTCAAATTTTTACAACATTGGATATTCACTCGATTTCTCATGTGGCAATTTCCTTTTTTTGTTGTAATTAAAAAACGAATTACTGTAAATACATGAAAATTTCACTGAATGTTTATATTAGCATTTCCTATACACCATACAATTTTGAAAATATTTTGACTCTTTTTGAGCCGTTTACGGACATTTTCAGTTTTCAATTTTTTTAGTTTTTTTTTTCTATAAATATCAATTAAGTTTTATCTGTTGGGCCAAAAAGTGTAAAAATTTAATACAAGGCTCCTGATATATTGTTACAATATCAGTTGAAAAATATTAAAAATACATAGGCACAATTTTTTTTTATAAGCATTTTAACATCGAATTTTGACAGAATTTTTCAAAATCTCGAAAATTATTAATCATCGTAATTAATAAATTATAAAATGTTCAGTTTTTATAGCTAAGGATTGAAAATTTAAAACAAGATTCCACGTAAGTAGTTAATTCTCTTACCGAAAAATCTAAAAAATATACAATCACAGTTTATTTTTATAGTCATTTTATGTTCAAATTTGGACGAAATTACACATTAAAAAACCTAGTTATTTTGTTGTGATTATATAATATTATTCGTGGGTACCTACTTGAAACTTCTAAAGTGTACTATTATATATATATGATAGTATCAGGGTTTGTTGTTGGTGTATAACGTGTTATAAGTACCTAATGGATATTGTGATATGATTAATTTGGAATTTATTTTAGGTCAATTTTTTTTTAATACCATAGATATGTATATAATTTGTCTTAAACCTAGACTAACATACCGTCTTCGCTCAGAATCGTTTTTCTTATACAATGATATTGTATCATTGAATTCAAATTTAAAAGCATCCATTATACAGTGACCCACTTGTAACCTACTGTACAGCAGAGCGACATCCACTTACCCACCTTTTTTTAATTTAAATTTATATTTATATAGAAATTTCTAATTTTATAAAATGGTCACGAGCCGGTTGGAATACTTCCGTGGCCGGATTTGACCCACAGGCCGTAGGTTAGGCACACCTGGTCTATAGTCTGTACTATGATTGAACTATGTCTCTCAACCTATGAATCGCAAAATTCTTTAGATAGGTCATATTATTATTATTATATTATTTTGAGATTAAGAGATCTATATCAAAAATGTTAGAACATTGCCATAATCTTATACTATTATACCCTGTTCCAAAAGAAAAGACACCAGAATTACGTAGCTAGTTTTCCAGTGGTTTCTTGGAGTCTTTTTTTTTGGAAGAGGGTATAGATAGGAATTCCACATAAAATCAGCAATGCATGAATATTGTCATGTGCCCAGATGTAGTCTAAATTAATTAGAAGTGTCCCATACTGAAAATTATTGTTCGAGTTAAGAATTATAGACTATAAAATATGAAATAATGGTATAATGCATACCATACACGCACTGCCGTTACTATACTCTATTCAAAAAAAGAACAGTAGTCGGTGACCACCTTGTGCAAAGGGGAGTGGCTACGTTCCAAAGCACTGGCCTTGCTCGTCTGACCGTTGTGGACAAAAAATTGTTGCCGCTGATTACCATTTTTATTTTGAATAGAGTATAATCAACTAAATTTGTACAGTTTATTAAAGTCAAAGATTATTTAATTATATATAATATTATGTCTGTTGCAATAAATTATATTATTATTATTACAATCACTTTTAGTAAGATCCAAACAACGAAATTGCTTAATATCTGTATTATATATTTTTAACTTTACTTTCTAATTTTAAGATTTTTAATCAACGAATAATTCTAGATTGATTGTTTATTTACAGAGTTAACAAAAGCAGCACTTTTATGACATCTTGGTTAGCAGGAAAAAATAAAAAAACTGATAGTAGTGATGAAGATCAAATGAAGAAAAAACAAAAAAACTAATATTCAGTATTGTAAAATTTTAATTGATAACATATATTTATAAGAATAATATTTTTAAAATAAAAGATTTAATTCATTTTTTAAATAATTGCAAATGAGCATAAGGCATATTGAATCAATTATTTAATAGTTTTGATAATAATTAGGTAAGTACATTTCTACTACCAAATTATAACTAATTGATCTAATAACCCAGTAATTGTTTATATAAGCTCGAAAAATCAATAGTTATATTTTAGTTTTCTCCATATAACCAAGAATCACTAGACCTTGACCATGATACCACTTCTTTTTCCGAAAACCACAGTGCAATTTCTTTGTTGGCTGATTCTACAGCGTCCGAACCATGAATTATGTTGCTAATAAAAATATTTAGGGTTTTAAAAGAATTATTAAATAATAACAAAAATTTTTATAACTTATAGATATCATAAATATTTACCGGCCAACTTGGACACATAGATCACCTCTAATTGTACCAGGATTTGAATTTTTTGGGTCAGTTGCGCCAAGAATGAAACGTCCAGTTTTTACAACATCTAATCCTTCCCATACCTACACAACACAACTTAATTATTTAAATTTCAATCAAGTAAACAATGTTGTATCTAATAACCATTGGCACTACTGGTGCAGAAGCCATGTATTTGACAAGACCTGGAAAAAATGGCCTGCTTGATAAATCAGCATAGTGTTTTGATAACAATTCTTCAGATGCCTGAAATAAATAATAAGATTAATAAGTAACTTGATTTATAATTTAACTAAACTGTTGTTTAAAAAGCAATAAAATCAAAAATCTTAATACACTCCACTAGTCCAGTATAATATCTATTACTCAAATTTTTTCTTGCCCTTTGAAATGTTTTTAAGTTATGTTTGAGGTATATACATTGGAAATTAAATAAGCCAAATTTTCTTGAGTTGAGACTTGACTTGATTAGTTTTTTTTGTCTAATCAAAGAAAATTGCTAAATGTCTTCCGTAAGTTTTTTATCAATTACCACCATGTTTATTACAGTCTGAAATGTCTTTAGATGACTAGGTTAAATTATTTAATAATCTATAGACATGGACCAAATTTAAGACTAACACTATAATTTATTGTAATCAATTATATAAAATTTGTTTTGCAAAAAAACGTAAATAGGTACAAGTATAAAATTGTATTTGTTTCAAATTTGAATAAGTATAATAATTTGTTTTTTATTGAGGTTGAATTGTATAAACCACCTATATCATTTGTTTTACTATTTGGATTTATTGTGTTATAATTATTATTTATTATCTTTAAAATTCAGGTTTTTCCAAATAAAGTACATATTAGCTATGAGAAATATAAAAATAAGTGTTATGAAATTATAATGTTTGTGCTATTTTTGAGTTGAGCTATAGGGCTGAAGAACCCTACAAGCCATTAATCTTAAGGTAAAACCAGAATTCAAATTCTGGATTGGTTTCTTGGTTTGCAACTACATTATGCTAACTCGCAAGTTTGAACTTGATAAAACTATTTTAGTAAAACATCAACATTTAATTTATTAATTTATCTAAGCAATACATTGAAAGTCACAATTACCATTTATACATTTAATGTACAATACATAAAAGTAGTATTTGTCCATTATTTAGTTTCATGTCTATTTTCAAGCATTCAATAACTATTGAAAATAATAAATACTGTTATTTAATATTAAAAACTGGGAGTACTTGCCCACATGAACTTCATTGCAACCAATTTGAATCCTTTTTCTTCAAAGCGCTTAATTATCTTACCGACCAGGCCGCGTTGAACGCCATCCGGCTTGACCATGATGAACGTACGTTCTGAATAAGCGTCCCCGCTCATTTTTCAGTTTTCTGTATACCTACTTAACAGAAATACAGTCTACATGAACAAATGAAAAAATCTATCTTTTACCTTATTACCTAATTTTTGTAAGTACCTAGTACCACCTACCTACTTTTAACTTTATTACATTTATACTGAGCAAATTAAATAGGTAGGCATCCACGAAATTGACATGCAAGAAAATTAAAAAACTTTATACTATTTTATAATATACTATAATATAGTAGCCAGTAAGGTATATTCTATTATTATTATTATTATCATTATCATTATACGTGGGCGTTGGCTGTCCCAAGTCTCAAACACGACATCGGAAAAACCACAAACAGCACAATGTCGCTGTTTAGACAATATCTGGATTATAATATTATAATATAAAAAAAATAAAGGTGTATGCCGTTATACGTTTTAACAATTTAACTTATAGAAAGATTACCTAGGTTATTACGTATTATTTTGTTCTATAGTATTAGGTAGGTAATAATTTGTTCATTACCTACTAAGAAATAATAACTAGTTTTTAAAATTAATTAATAGTTTTTATAGTTTAGATGAGATGGTTAATAGACCACTAATTTCGCGTAGTGACTGGGTAGATCAGAGAGTACCTACCCTCTTTAGAGTGGTAGGTATATGAGTATTATTCCGGAAACGGAATTTTTGAGAAAAGTGAAAGAATATTACGTTTGGTTTGAATTTTGAAATTGTACTTTAAACCACATTACTACGAATAAGGAGAAACAGATAATATCGAGATATCCTAATTAGTAATTCGTACTTTACGAATAGTAACAATTTCTTAATTTACTACTTTATGTAACTTTACTTATCGTATTTAATACTGAAATTTGTAAACAGTAACTATAATTGTTTATTTATTATAAATACTTAAATTTTGAATAATCATTAATCAATCACACATATAAAAAAAAGTGTTTAATTTAATTTTGGATTAGAAAGTGTTTATAATGATATAAGTATTTTTTAAGTACCTACCTAATATTTTTTTATAGTAAATGTCGGAATACCAACATACAAAGATTCAGCGTTGAAAGTTTTTTCCGAAAAAATAACTTATTTATAGACTATAATATAGTAAACACTAAACGCAATCTGATCCTCCCTCCAGAAGACAAACACGAATAAAGGATATAAAATTATCGAAATGTTCATAAAATAATTTAATGAAGTCAAAAAAAAATAAATATTTTATGAAATTGTAGAATTGTTTCCCAATTGTGGTGTCTTAATAACAAAAAAAAAACAATTTCCATTAAGTTTGCATTAATATTGTTTAAAAAATTGGCGTTCTAGTTGACACATCAAAATTTATAAGCCCGAAAAAACAGCTCGCTAATAGTAAGTTCGATAATATTAGCCCCCGTCACATTTACACATTTAACTTCTATATTCTATAGTTCCTTTAATGGTCACCGTTTTTAATGACATTGACAAATTTTGAGCAAGGGGTTGAAATAATATTATATTATCGAGGGGTAGTACTCACCGAAAAAACTTATAAATCGTCAAAAAAACGTTAGGCAATCGACAAGCGGACGGCGGTGACGAAACGAAGTAAGGTGGACTGCGAGTAATGACAGAATGACTACAGAGTATTGACTGCGGGCCGGGTGAGTGTGAGTATACTAAAGTACAAACTACCAACCAATGACTGAATGACGCAATTGACGCGTAACGCCGAAACGCCAAAGCACTCCAACGGTGAATAATCTAATCACTAATCAGAAATAGTGGGACGGTCGGTAGTCCACATTAGCGCAGTCACGGTGTAAACTCAAATGTTCAACGATGTTGTGTACTTGTGTAGTAGTGTGAATAGTGGCGAGGGGCACCAACAATAAGTTGTACATCAAAAGATATATTAATAGAATGATGAGCACGGGTTGCGGTGTTTGCTACGAACAATAACAAATACGACGTTAAATTACTCCGAAATTGTATTATCAGGCAGTTACCACGAAAATCAGATGCTACGAACAGTACGATTGTACGAACGTACATTTACCGCTATATTACAAGTACCACGATATTATTTTAGTACGAAACAACAAACGTCAAAAAGTACCACGATTATAAAGAATAACCGTTTAACTGTACAAAATTGAACAATTATTGTCAATTAGGTAATAGGTATGTCCTACGAAATACAATATCCCTTTTTTTAAATAGAGTTAATATTTTAACATGTAAATTTAATAACAATATTAACAGTAAATAGTCATTATGAAATATACCTATATTATGGCTCACTTATTTTATGGTTAAATTCATTCAATTCTCACTTGAAACAGTTTCTTAAATAGCTACCGCCTACCATACGGCATACACCATCAATTTAATTTTATCAATAAATTAAGTTGGTAAAGTTAACTTGGTCTCGTTTCACTAATTTTACTGTATAGGTAGTAGGTATGTACAACGGTAAAAAATACAAATATACAATACTGTTAGACTAGTCTGTTGGTTAATTGTAACTTGTAAGTACCTACTGAATACTAATACTCTATTGACTACTGAATAACCTACTGAATACTAATGTCAAATACTAATACTCTATTGACTATTTTATTATAGTCTATTAAATATCTATATGATTATATTGAAATTTATTTTTTTTAAGTTGCCTACTTAGGCTTAGACCAGGCTTAGGCTTAGACCAGGAGCTTCATAAGTCCTAACGTATTTCATTAATCAATATGTAGACTTGCCAGATTATAAATATTCCAAATTTGTACATCAAGCAATATGACTTATGAATAGGCAGGTATGTATCTAAGTATGTTATTTTTTTTTTATATTAGTATGCAACTCCAAATTAATAACAAGAATATTTGTATAATTTATAATGTTAACAAATAAATATTTGGATGACATCATCAACGGTGTCATCACAAACTTCACAGTTGTCTGGACGAAGGAAAGCACAATCTTCACATCTCCAACCATGGCCACAACTTTGGTACACATACCGTATGCCATTGGGTACATCTCTAAAGGCCCTCAAACAACAAAGGCAGTTGCTGCCTGTTGGGTCCAATAAACTGTTCAAATTATTCATCCATTGGCCTATAATCAAAGAGTGTTAGTTAGTAAGTAATTGAATATTTAAAACCTCCAATCTAAATTATCATTAAATGTTTATTATATAATTTTATGTTAAATCTATTTCCTCATATAAATGTGCAAAATAGAGTAACACATACCTAATATAGTTAACATAATACTTAGTCATTGAAAAAAATGTAGGTATACGCCTATTGTATTATCAACTTTTATGTTTCTCTATTATGCATATTTACCTATATGTGAACATTGTTAAAAATAGTAAATTCTGGCTATCATGTCAATAAAATAATTATCTTATTTGCTTATTGTGTCTCAAAAAGCATCAATTGTAAATACTATTTTAATATTTAATATTAAATTTAAAAATGTAGTTGGCATTACCATTTCCTATCATTATGTATATACTGAAGGTGTCGTCTATTGGTGTCTTGCAAATTCCACAGTTGGTTTGTTGTTGACCACAATTATCACAACACCATCCATGGCCGCATGGCAAAAGAATGTTGACCGATCCAATGTCTTCATTCCTACCACTAAGACACACAAAGCAACGGTCGTATTCTTCACCTGATAAAAATAAACAGAATACAATTATGTTTGATTCTGATTTATGTAAAAAAATAGTGATTTCTTTAAATTTATAAATTATAAATATTGGTACCTGGCATTTGTGGTATTGCCACCACCAAAATTTCAGCATTTTCACTCTCTATAATATTATGTTAATAGAAAATTATAAATTAAGTATTATAAAATTAAAAAAAAAAAAAAATTTATTAAAACCAACTGTTTTTAAATGTTTAAATTTATAAATTGAAAATATAATAAACCAATTTAAGCAGTACATTTTGTAATTATTATTGGCTATTTACCTTGTTGAAGCTGTACATTCGTTAACAAAAAAAATTAATTATGGGTAGGTAATAAATAATAATAATTATTTTATGTAAACATACCTTCTCTGACTATATTTTCACTTGTCTCCACAACAATATTTTCTTCTATACCTATTAAGTGATAAGCGTACATAAAATATGTATATATTATATTTGTATACTATTTTTTTCATTTTTTAGACATTAATGTACTACCTTCAATTTCCTCCGCTGGTTGAAATCTTACTAAATTATGATGCATACAAATTAAAAATAATATTTTTTAAAAAACTATTCTTATTATTCTTACTTACAATTTATTTGTTGATTATTAGGCCTCCCGATCCGATTAGCCTGACGTCCTCTACACCTCCGTCCTCTAATATTAGATATACCTCTGGGTTGTAATCCCATATCCCTTACTACACCTCTTGGCCTTCTGACTTGATTACCTATGCGTCCTGGTAAAGGTGGTGGTGGTTGAAGAGGCATCATTACCAATTGTCCCATGTTTTGGTCTAATTGGTTGTCTAATTTTAAATATTTAGATTATTATAATTGTAAAGAATGAAAAACAATATATTTACCCATTGGTATGGGGCCTATATGCTCATCGCAGTATCCTCTTGCTGAGTAAGCAACCCGCCTGAGAAATGCTGAGACGTCAAATCGTCCATTCCTAACATTTTGGTATGCTCCTTCCAATAACTTGTTGTTTGTGTCCCTGCTGGTTAAAACTGACCTTCGGACCTGAAACAAAATTAGTAATTTAGTTATTATTATAATAAGTTATAACCGGTTAAGTTCCTTGGTTTTGAAATTAGTTTAGTTTAAAGTAAGTTAATTAAAAGGTACAAGTTATAATATGGTTATCTTTAATTGAAAATATAATTTTATTTTTATTTTACTAAAATTCTTTGTTTACCAGTATTTTTACTTGTTTTATATGTGCAATCTTTATCTATATTTTAAAAGTGTTTTTAACTTAACAGTTAAGATTTGTCTTAACAAATGTTAAATTTAATGATATTTTATATTTATTCACATTTGTTTTCAATAGTTAATATTTTGTTAGGTAAATCGTATATAATAAAATATATTATTTTTTTTAATCCCAGATCCCTGATTATCTCATACAGATAATGTACATTATGAAAACAAAATTAGAAAAATATCAACCTCAGTCCTAGTTATTATATTTTTAATGGAATAGAATGACTTAAATTAATATTATACTTTTCTATATTCAAATATTTTTATTATTAGGTAAAACACGCAGTTTACCATACAAAATAGTGCATATTTTCTATGATTTGTCATGGATGTATGTCATATATTTACCTGGTGACCATTTATAAGTTGTTGTGTCTCCCTCCTTACTCTTCGTTCCACAGAACGTAAGCGATCTGTAAGTATAATTTATCATATGGTTTAAATTTATTAATTTAGTTGGGAATTAATTAATTTTTTATATGTTTTAACTTACCATAGAAAGTCCACAACGGTGGATGTTGACCAATTGTAGTCTGTATCATGCTGTGGAAGCTCTCCAAATAATTATTAGTTCTAATACTATACCCAAAAATATAAGTATTAAAAATAGAAATCATATTTTGCTTCTATTTTGAATGTAAGTTGTAATTTAATTTTAATATTAGCTTTATGATACTAAAAAAAAAAAATGATTTTTAAAGATATTTATAAATAAAGAATTATGAACTGGAAGGAATATTATTATAAGATTTAAGACTCACAATATTGTCTAGCAGAACGTGTATGGTCACTAATTGATCCATGTCGCTAGGACTTCTTGGTAGTACTCCAAACGTACCATCAACAGCTACAACCTTAGACTGTCTCATGAATGGTGCATAATTTTGCAGAAATTGCAGATTTGCAAAAACCAATCCTCCAAAGATTGATTCTGTACCTATCAGGTACTCTAATGAGCCTTGGAAAAAAGCATTGTTGTTATTGTCATCTAGTAATGACATCAGTCGTCCACGCCATTCCTGTGAAGCAATTGTTTCACCCATGGCTGCCAAAGAAGCTGGTACAGGTGGATTGAATCTCTGCCGGATATTCCGCATCATTCTCAAAGCAACATCTACAGACATTTCTGTTGCTGCATTTGGAAATCTGTGCATTCAATTATAAAATTAGGTATGGGCGATGACCACGCAAAGTGTCATATTTAATTAATTATGAAAAAAAAACTCATTTAAATGGAGGGGCCAAGCAAGAAGATATTTGATAAAAATAATTTGTAAATTTCTAGTTTAATTGTGTTTGTTATTTTATAGCAAAAAAATAAGCTTTGTAGCACTGTACAATTGTAACATTGTAGACTGTAGTCATGTGGGTTACTGTAATGGATGTGTTGAATTTGAATTCAGTCGGCAGTCCTATAGGTTAAAAATTATTAAATTGCCCATAATAACAAATAATTAAAGAGTTAGATCCCTTCCCATTTAAAGAAGTAATTTTTTTTTTATAACGGAATATTTTGGACACTGCTGGTTAGTGGTTGCTTCCCCCTTGGGCAATTAGTGTATAAAGTAAAATATCAATAAACATCTATTAGCATTTTTAAGTCAATTATTTTTTATTAAATTGTAATTATTATTTTACCTTCTAGATTCCTCTTCATATATTATCCTTGGTGGAGTACTCTCAGCAGCCGCTCTACTTCTTAGAGTAGCCAAAAAATTCCCAATCTCCACATCATGGCCTGTGGTTGTGCACACTATACATGATAATGGGAGCATTTTCCGGTTCCAGAGCCATTGACGCTGTTGCATGACATCCTCGTTCGTATCTCGTACACCTTAGCTGTCTAAAATATGTAATAAAATATGTTTTTAAAATACTTGAAAATAATTTTTAAAATTGTCTATAAGCTTTTCACCTTCTATTGGTTGAGGTATGGTTTTGGACATACGTGTAGCCGTGTCCGTCCAAATATACTAACCCCCCTCTCACACCTGGTACTCTTCTTGAAGGGATGTTGTTACTATCGCCTAAGATATCTAAAATATTACCACCTAAAGGCGATCTTGAACGTGAACGTCTTTGTTCATCATCTAAAGTTTAAACATTTTGTTAGAATTTGTAAAAAATATATTGGCCCAGGTATTTTATATACCTAAGAGATTTAATCAACATTGTATCAAAAAAACAAACTTTCAAGTCCAGTGGTAGCTATCAAACAAAATAAAGGTGTATCAAATTTTGAATTTAACTACCCACCCGCCAACCCTGATACACAATTTAGTAACCAATAGTTTATATTTTTATGCTACACACCTACAAATACAAGAAAAAAAAGCTGATAAGTGAGTGTCACTCTGCTGTATAGTAGCTAGTTACAAGTGGGTCACTGTAATCGTAATGGATGGTGTTAAATTGAATTAAATGATATAAAATCATTGTATACAAAAAACGATTCTGAGCTATGACAATTAGTCAGCCTATGTGATATATTAATAAGTAGGTAGGTATATTTTATGATAATACAATATAATATTATAGTGAATAAACTCAATAAAGTAATTTGTTTTACTATTAGGCATTAGTACAACGGTAGGTTGAATTAATTTTACAAAAAAATTGCATTTGAAAATATTATTGTGTGTATAAAATATAATAATATACCTACTCTAAAAGTGTCATCTACTCACGAATAAGTAATAACAATGTTTAAATTACAACAAAATAACTAAAGTCGTTATGACGTTATTGTTGGTTTTAAAATATAATTTCTTCCAAACTTATTAAAATGTTGGAAAAAATAACTAAGTTTTTATTTTTATATTTTTTGGTCATAGTTTGAACTATTTATGAGAATCCTTGTTTTAAATTTTCAATGATTATAGCTATACAATTTTAAAATTTTTCAACTAAGTACAATAAATTTGAAAATTTTCAAAATTTTGATAAATGTCAAAATTTGAACTTGAAATACTTATAAAAAAAGTCGTGTTTATGGATCTTTAATATTTATCAGCTGCTATTTTAACAACTTATAAGGAACCTTCTGTTAAATTTTCAAGCTTTTTTACTCAACGAATGCATTTTTATTAAATTTAATATAATATAAAACTAAAAAAATTGAATATTTTGAATGTCTATATATACCTCAATACGGGTTAACCTATTTTTGAAAGGTTATAATGGATAGAAAATGATAAAATAATCATTCAATGAAAATGTAAAGTACCTACTAGTTTTTGAATAACAACAAAATAAGAAAATAGTATAAGAATTTGTTAAATTACTAGGTTGAATATTTTGAATTATTTTGAACTGTTTAGGGACATTTTCATTTTCCATTTTTTTTATTTTTTTTTCTAAATTTATTGGGTAAAAAAGCTTGAAAATTTAATAGAAGGCTCCTAGTATATTGTTTCAAAAGCAGATGAAAAATATGGAAAAATCACGAAAAATGGCAAATTATTTTGAGTTAAGAATTCGTAAAAATTTTTCTTTTAAAAAACTAAGATTTGAAAATGTAATACAAGATTACTTATAAGTTTGTCTACCTTTATCAATAAAAAAATATCCAACTGAAAGTCAAATTAAATTTTTATGAGCGTTTAAAGTTCATAATTTTACAATATTGGATATTCACTCGATTTCTCATGTAGCGATTTCCTTATTTTGTTGTAATTCAAAAACGAATAACTGTAGATACATAAAAATTTCACTGAATGTTTATATTAGCATTTCCTATACACCATACAATTTTGAAAATATTTTGACTCTTTTTGGGCTGTGTACGGGCATTTACAGTTTTCAATTTCTTTAGTTTTTTTTTCTATAAATATCAATAAAGTTTTATCTGTTGGGCCAAAAAGTGTAAAAATTTAATACAAGACTCCTGATATATTTTTACAATAGCAGTTGAAAAATATTAAAAATACATAGGCACAGTTTTTTTTTATAAGCATTTAAAGATCAAATTTGGACAGAATTTATCAAACACTCGAAAATTATCAATCATTGTAATTAATAAATTATAAAATGTTCAGTTTTTATAGCTAAGGATTTAAAATTTAAAACAAGATTCCATGTAAGTAGTTAATTCTGTTACCGAAAAATCTAAAAAATACACAAGCAGTAAGCACAGTTTATTTTTATAGTCATTTTTAGTTC